ATATATATATATATATATACAGTATATTAGGGCTGTCATCATTAACGCGTTAACGCATGCGATTCATTTTACAATCCTTAACGTGTTAAAGTAATTTAACGCGGTTAACGCAAAATTACTGAAGCACAATTTCTATTCTAACCCTTTAACCCAATTTTGCTTCTCTGCTTGCGATCAGATCATTTTAAGCCACTAGACTCCGGGAAAGTTTTCAGTCCAACGATCCAGTAAGCGAATGCATTCAAACAATCCGTCCAAAACAGCGCTAATATAAAGGAAACCCGGCTGATTACATCAGAGATTGCAGAGAGAACAGAGACTCGCGTTGCGTTTTCAGTGAATTATTCATTCCAGTGTGTTTGGCTTTAAAACACGAGCTCTGTCATATTCTGTGATTGTCTCTGAACGAGCCCTCACACGTAACACACTCTCTGTGAAGTACGGACTGAACGGATTGTCATCACATCCCACCGCTGTATGGCCAGATGAGATGCAAACTACGGTTTCTCGACTGGATAACTAGTCTCGCTAGTAAAGTTTTGATGGATGGAGACTGCAATCAAGGTAAAGACGATTGCGGTGGCGTACAGGAGTCGTACAGTAAGCACGCGTGAGTCTGTTATAATAATGTGTGTATGAGTGCTCTTGACGCACTGATCACACATTGTATTTATGCACAGGCACACACATTTCCGTACATTCACATTGTTTCCACACACATTCACGAATGTTTTGATTTGTCATGTTTATGTTGCTGTGTTTAGTTATTCTGAATGGATCCGTGTACTGTAGTAGATATATGCAGTCAGCAGGTGGTTGGTTTTTTTGGCATCTCCATGTGATCCTGTTCGGTATCGCAACTTGACTTCTCTAAAATGTAAAAAAGCTCTTTGCTGTTGCACTGTACACATACTATAAAATTCAGATTTTTTTTCTGTCATATGTGCTTATATGGGCTCCTTATATCATCTGGTTCTTTGGTGTCCTTTTGGAGATTCTAAGGGTGCTTTCACACTTGCCTGGTCTGAACCCGAGTTCGATTGCTCCCCCCTCCCCCTGCCCCCGCTGGACTGCATTCGTATTATTTTATTTGGGTCCGAATCGTGGTTCGTTTGCGTCATCAAGCCAGCAGCTGTTTACCCCGTTGCTTAGTAACAGCGGCACAGGATAAGTTGCTCTCTGCACTTTTATATATTTACGTTTTTGAAACATTCGTTTTGTTTACAAAGCTTCGGTACATAACGGCACTTACGTCTGTCTTACGGATGTACTGCAAATGCTCTAAAGAACGCTGAAGGCCAACAGAAATGAGATATACAACAAACACTCACTGTTTGCAGCACGTCAGTCACACTCGTCAGGAAAGTGAGTGCAACACACACACAAACACACATTTTTATCAAAAAATACGTCATTAATAGCGGTTCACGTCCACGATTTGGTACGATTGCGTTCACATCAGCAGCGAACCGTACCGGAGTTCACTTGAACCGTACCCCAGACCACCCTTTTAAGCGGACTCGGGTAAAGTTCGCAGGTGCGCACCCGAGTTCGGAAGACAGCGTTCACATCATCCAAACGAACCGAACTCTGACGTCAATCGAACCCGGGTGCGCACCAAAAGTGCTAGTGAAAGCACCCTGAGTGTCCTTTTTTGGAAAGAGAAAATTTAGATTTTTTGAGAATCACATTTTAATCTTTTGGTTTACTTTGCAGGATATAGCAAATGATGACAAAATAAATATTTTAAACAAGATAAATGGTCTATGCTTAATTTCATGAAGTGTGCGATTAATCGCGATTAATCACAGAAAAAGGGTGCGATTAATTAGATTAAAAATGTTAATTGATTGACAGCCCTAACATACAGTATATATATATATATATATATATATAT